TTTCAAGTTCAACTATTGTGTGTTTCAAAGCTATTTTAACAGGCTCTTGATTAATTTTTTGAAATATTTTTTTGCTGTGTTGTATCCAACCACTAAATTAGTTTTTTCAATGAAATTATTTAAGAAAAAAGTCAATTTGAAACGAAATTTTAAAACTTAAAAAAAATCCCATTTGTGCTAAATAAATTATGGAAATGGATGTGCATTTACAAATAATTGCATTTATATTTCTCTATAAACGTTTTAATTTAAAATAAGCTAATGCAATTTATGAATAACAATTATGTTTATTAGATAATAATCTTCACAGTTTATAATAGTTCTTCGAAATTTTATTCAATCTCAATTTAAGCGTACGCCGAAAACATATTCAGAACAAACTAAAAGCCACTCCAGACCTGTAAATTCAACTGCCTGACGAAAAACCTAATTTTAAGAAAACTAATTTTAAGATAGTTATTCACAAAATAATGAAAAATTTCATTCTTTACATTAAACATTTCCAAATGAATTTTTTTAATATTTTTTGGTTAGTATATGTTGTTTCTAAAGACACTTAGACAAGCAAAGCTAGGCAGCCATTGGCCTTTTGTGAGTTAAGTCAAGAAAGCGCGCCTTTCATTTTGACAAGAGAGCACCAGAAAGGAGAAAGCACGTCTTAGCTCATAACTCCACCAATAGATGGCAGCATCACTCATTCTATAGGAACTTCCACAATTTAGACTCTGAGACTTCGGGATTGTAAAATCTGAGGTCTACTCTAGGGCTCTAAATTTAGACTTCCTCAATTTAGATTAAACTTAAGAGGAAGGAAATTTTCTCCAGATTCTTGTACCCATGATACTGCTCAGTGACAAACCGCAAGAAATTTGATTCCACAAATTTTACAAGCACGTATATCGCATGTGTTTGGTGGATCTTGACGGAGTTGGGGATCAAACCCCGGTCCAGAGCCCGATTCGCTAACCACCGGGGTAGTAGCACTGGGTTAATATATTCACAGCTGCAAATGAACCCTATTTATTAATGATCCTACCAAGGAAAGCTCTATTATTTTGGATTCCAAAACCAAAAAGTAAATAAAAAATTGAAAGCGCTAATTAATTCTAACGACATGGTTTACCTATCTCACGAATTTGAAACCATTTTATTTAATCACCATGTATATTAATTTGCGATGATTAAATGTAAAGCATTTTTACATCATACTTTATAAGTATTCAAAACGTATATATATTACATGCAGTCATTGCAGAACCCAATGCGCAACTTTTATACCAATTTACATGAAAATTGTTTGATGAATTTAAATAATTCACGTGCATGATTATTATTAATACTACATAATCACTTATGCCTACAATTTCTCCTTCGGCAATTCCAACAATTCTTAATATTTCCATTCAATTAGTTACCTTTATGTCTCGAGAAAAAAAAGAGCTCTTTCCAGACCATAGAACATTTTTGAGTTGTGTTCAGTTAATGATCGGAAATTGACGTCACCATCCTGAAAAGATATTTAATGGTTTTCGATATCACAAACCGTACAGAAACGACATCGATATTTTTAAGGATCCTTGGCCCAACAAATACAGTCTTTTCGAGCGCGTTAAGGAATGCCAGAGGGGGGCGGTGGACTAAACTAAAATTTATTTTCGAAGAGTTATTGTAGCGCCATTTTTTCACATCTACACTCTGGTTACAGTTACTAAAGAGAAAAGAAGGAGAAATATTTTCGCTGTCGACTTGTTTCGAATCGTAAGGCGAAATGGAAGTTATTTCTCATGCTTTTTTTATTTTTTTTATTTCGAACATCTAAAGAAGTCGTTTGTGACCCGAGTTTTGGAGATCGAAGTCTGCGAAGTATTGATAATGGGAAAGAGAAGCCGATAGCATTTCTGACAAAATGTCAACGACTTTCGTTGCGAAAATAAGATTTGCTCGATTGGACAGAAATTCCAGCCTTCTTGTCCCAGCTGCTCAGGGTCTTTCTGCTGAATTTTTTACTCGTTCCATCTTTCGAAAGGGGTTGGCTCAACACAGAGAAAGTGAGGTTTAAGGGGAGATTTCGACTCATCTTATTCTTTTGAAGAAAAGAAATCTGTTTTGAAAAAAGGACTTGTGGAAATCGAAATTCAGTCGAACATAAGAAAAAGCAAAAGCTTACTCTTTGGTTGCTTCCTCTCCCTCCCTTTTTTTAACTTCTCAAAAGCATGTCCAGTGATTTTGTTATCTGAAATCATGTTTTTTGATAGAAAAAAATATCCTGTTTTTTGGAAAAAAATATCATTCACGCTAATATTTAAATACTGTTACATATGTATTTTATTTTTTGGTTCTTTATTTTTCGAACTACGCATTAAAAAAAAAGCTGCATAGAGAAGCAAACTTGAATCGAATCAGATTTAGCAATGGTTTTGGTCACATTAGTAGTATTATACGAGATTCAATGCTACTAATGTGACTATATGGCAAAGCAATTCTATCTAAGGCTTTTACAGGGTGTTCTGTAATCACCAATCTAAACATATATTTCTAAAAGAAACCTTCGAAAAATGCGCATAGATTAAAACCAGGAGATTCAACTCAATGATTGCAATACCATTGGGATAATATGCCACATTTACTAAAGTGGGAATAATACAATACATATGCGATAATATGCAATGTCTACAAGAGTCAAATCAGAGTGTGCAATACCTTTGAGATATAAATAAAAAAATATAATATCTATAGGGATCTATGGGATAGCTTTAATATCTACGAGAATTGGACACATATAATATCTATGGGTGATTAGCAATATCTACAGGGATAAGACGTACAGTGCGGGGAAAAAAAGGAGCACCCTGATAAATTTTCATCCGAATGAACAGATTTTTACGTACTGAGACTCAACCTTAATGGTTCGAGAACCTAACTTTAAATGTGATATCCTAATTTTTTAGTGCAAACTATGTTTTAAGTTACAAAATCAGACACAAACACATACTGTCTCTAAACAGACATAAATTTTATTTTTGGTTTCTTGACTTTCAAAATTTGGGGGGGGGGCGCAATCTGAAAAGTATGGTCACAAAAGTTTAGGCAAAAGAGCAGTCGATTGTTTGGACCTTTTAATATTAATTTTTCTTTTCCCTTTTTTCACGATATCTGAGATAATTTTTTAACGAATCAAATAAATAATTGAACACAGTCATAAAATTCGTTTATCTGAAAATAATTCGCAAAAGAATATAACTATTTATTAATTTTTTTTAATTTAGTTAATAAGGATTGAAAAAATTTTCAAATTCTGAAGTCCACAAATTTTAACAGCCTTTCAAACTGCGTAATTTTAAATGACAAAATACAAAATGCAAACAAAATCATTCGAAGAATTCATGAGAAAATTAGACTTTTTTTTTTCTTTATTCCTTAGAAAGTATTTGACCAATTTCGTTTAAACTTTGTTCATTTTGTCATTAAAATGTTTTCGAAAGTTGCATAATCAACAATTCATACAGTTTTTATCATTGTTATATAAATTAAGGAAAAATAATACGAAATTATTACTTGGAATTATCTTTGGATAAACGAATTTCATAATTACGAGCAAAATCTTTTGGTTTGCTAAAAAAAGCATTATAACAAACGCAAAGAGTAGAATTAACATTATGGATACCAAGAAGGCCAATCACTCTCTTGACTAAATTTGAACTCAATTTTCCAGATTGTGGCCATCCTTCATATTTTGATGGCGAAATATCCATCGAAATAAAAATATACTTACGCACCTAAAATATTGATCTTGTAACTTAAAATATCATCTGTACTAATTAATTAACACGTGTGTAACATGTCTTTTAAACCATTAAAATTGCCGTTTAGTTCATAAAAATCCAATAATTATGTAGAACAAAAGTTGTGAAGAGTGATATATTCTCTTTTTTTGCGTACTGTACTCAATATTTAATTAGTAGTAGTAATTTACTCACAAGTAATTTAGTATACACAGTAATTTAGTACACAATATTTAATTAGTATTAGTAGTAGTAATACTTAATTAGTACCATGATCCAAAAGAACGTGACTAAAACATGGCTAAACGCATCAAAGTGTTTTGTTTTTTTTTCTTTCGCTTTTCTTCGTATTGTAGTTCAAATAAAATTTGAAAGCTTCACTCTATGACCATATCTTTTCAAATTTTAAACGATATTTGTAACGATATTTGTAAAATTTGAAAACTTTACTCTATGACCATATCTTTTCAAATTTTAAACGAAATTTGTAACGATATTTGAACGACATTTGTAAAATTTGAAAACTTTACTCTATGACCATATCTTTTCAAATTTTAAACGATATTTGCAACGATATTTAAATGATATTTGCAAAATTTGAAAACTTTACTCTATGACCATACCTTTTCAAATTTATTTCAAATTTATTATATACGCTATTTTTAACATCTAGAGCAGTGTTTCCCAAACTTATGACTTTTGTGTACCCTTTCTAAATTTTTCGTACCGCTGTGTACCACTATAAAAAATGAATGTATTTCTTACTGTAAAAAAATTGCACAAAAGTTAAAATTCACAACTGGCTGTTGACACCACTAATTATTAACTGTTAACTCTGCATAAAATAGTCAATAGAAAAACACGTAATCGTAAATTTTCATGACTGGCTTTGTTTTTAAATAAAATTTTGAAAATTTCGTTTATTAGAAGATATCTCGCATATGAACGCGTACCACCGCTAAACTGTTCCCGTACCCCTGGGGGTACGCATACCACACTTTGGGAAACACTAATCTAGAGGTACAAAGTTGCCAAACAGTAAAAAAAAACTAAAAGTGATTTTCGTAAACAATGCTCAGAACGTAACTTTAATTTCTTTACCAAATATAGGATAAATCAAAAGGTGAATCTTTGGATAAATCATTATCCTTCCTATTATTAATATTTTTTTTGAATTTCTAATGTGCAAACACTTATCAATTTGGTTTTTTTTAATAGGTTCAATAAAGGATAATTCATTTGCTCCTCGTCAATTTCGAAAAAGATTTTGATCCTTGTAAGTATAACTCCTAAACTTATATTTTAATAAATATTAATTTCGATTTTTATCAATGTTACACATTGTTTGTAAATAACTCTGTTCAAATAATTTTCAAAGCCGTATTTAGTTTTCTTTTCATAGTCGTTAGACTCTTTTAGTCTATATACAATTGGAGTAATTAACTAAATATTCTCTACTAAATTTGATTGCAATATACTAGTGTTTTCAGAGTTAGTAATAAATACTTATGCACTTATGGCAAAAATAAAGATTTTCATAAATGAAAAGCAAAAATTAGGGTTTCAACTAATTAGAAACGTTTAGTTTAAAACCAATCAATCATATTCTCCGAGGCATTCAAAGGAATGTTAAAAGAATACTATTCCTTTAACTTTCATAATTATTCGAGAAAATACAAATCATTAAAGCTGCTTCGAGTTAAGATAAAACCACAGAAACTGACAAATGAGGTAACATAGATTTATTTTAACTCCATCTTTACTAGACATTTTAAAAAGTTTGGTAACATTTTCTCATCTTTTTTAATGAAACTTAATTATCTCTTTTTTCAACTCTACTTTTGTGTTTACTCGGATTTTGAATATCTAATAACTCTATTACCATTTCCCCTAGGGTTTTGAAATTTTAGTCCCCGGTCCGAATTTTTTTTTTAATTTTAATTATTCCGTTACGGAGAAATGTTGAAAAAATGTTTTGTTTTGTTTTTTCGCATCTGTTAAGTCATTGTTATAAATAGATAGTTTAACACTTTTAACACTTTAGTTTACACAATTCTGTTTAACACTTTTCCACTCGTTCTTTTATGTTAAATTGTTTTTCTCAATATCAGTCATTTACGTGAAAGGCATGTAGATCAGTGCTACGTCTCCAAATTAGCATTCCTAAAGTTATCTAAAACCTCGTGTAAATTTTGTTTATAATTGTGCTTTAAAAACGTATTTCTGAAGAAAAGAAAAGAATGTTCAATTTATTTCAAAGACTTAATGAATCCTGGAACGAAAAGTACGAAATAATATAACTTTAAAAATACGCTTTTTATTCTATATTACTAAAAAAAAATTGGGCATTGATGGTTTTAGATAAGATATAAGTCGAAGGAATCAATAGCTCGAAAAATTTCGATTGAAATTCAATTCATTCGTTATGCACGCATTTTTATTTTTCAAGTTTTGTAATATTCGAGCTGGAAAGAGTTGAAGTTTTATTACATTAAATATTCAGCCATCCATCTATCTATTTCTTATCTTTGATATTTTTCATCGACTTCATAGAGTCATGGAGATAAATTTTATCATAGACTTCATACAGATAAATTTTATTATAAACGTAAAGTTTTATTACGATCTGAACTAGTTAAATAAATTGAAGAAGTTTTATTATGTGAATATCGTGGTTAGATACTTACAAAACTATTTTTCAAATAAATTTAATTCAAAATAATATATAAATATAAGAACTGAGAACAAAATAAAAAAGAATTTGTTTTCCAAGACGTAAAGTCTTGATATTTTATTTCTCATGCATTTATACAAGGTCCGGCTATTAATTTCCAGGACTGACGTAACTGTAGGAGAACGAAAAGCCGGAAGATGGCGCTAATGATTGCATATTGAAGAGTGTTTTCTTGCGCATGTGCAGTGCAATCGGCACCATACTGAAGTAAGTGGTTCTCATAGAAAGGCGCATTAAAACGTAGCTCTTAAATTCCTATTGTCGAAGTGAAAATGGAGCAAGAATAAACATTAAATGTTGCTTCAAATTGGGCAAGACAGCTGCAGAAACCTACAAATGATTTAAAGAAATTTACGGCGAGGAAGCATTATGTCGCTCCAGAACTTTTGAATGGTTTAAACGCTTTTGAGACAGCGCGAAAGCGTGGAAGATGATCCACACACAGGTTGGCCGCAGTCGTTACGCACGCCGGAAGAAATTGAAAAGGTTCGCTTCCACACATTGCGTTGCCTGTGAGGCGATTCTTAGCCCAGCATGGTGTCGTTGAAATGCAGCATCCACCATACTCTCCAGACCTAGCACCCGCAGACTGTTTCCTAAGCTGAAAAATTCTCTGAAGGGGACAAGATTTCAAGATGTCGAAGCCATCAAGAAGACTGTAACGTCACTATTAAAGAGCATTCCAAAAGAGGACTTTAAAACTTCGATCCGAAATTTGCACTGCCGAGCACAGACGTGCATTATGGCTGATGGGGATTACTTCGAATAATATTAAATGGCTATGTGTTTAATTTTATTTTCTTCTGAGTTATTCCATGAGTCCTGGAAATTAATAGCCGGACCTTGTAGTTATTATTATTTGAATTAGGTTTTTACTTAACGGCCACACTGAGTGACACATTCAATCTCAAGTAATTGAATTTGTCACTCAGACATTGATTTAGGATTATTTTCTTAAATTATAAATTTGATGAATTTATACATTTTAAGTATTAAATAAATGGAAGTAATAAACAATTTTGTTTTGATTTCTTTTAAATCAGCACTCCTTAAATTATTGCAATGTTTATAACAACTGTTCCAAAACGCAATATCTCAAAACATTAATATGAGAGTAAAAGTTAATGATTTATATTGGTTAAAGCTTTACAAAAGAACAGCTGCGAAATTCTCAAATATTTTTTATTCAAATACTTTTCATCTGATGAAGTAAAATAACGTAAAAGATACAGAATTATATCTTTTCAACTCTTGCTAGGAGTCAAAAATATAGATGACTTAATTTTATAACAATTCATTTTCAACGCTTGTGCTTATTAATCATTGAGCTTGCTAGTGCTTTTGGTTGTAGCGACTTCCTCTATTTACGATTTCTTTTGGGAGGCACAGAATTTTTTCCATAGATTTTGTGTTGAAGAACACTTTTAGGAGAGACCATCAAAACCTCTACCAGTGATTGGGCAAACCTCCGCACCAAGGGTGGAAAAGGCCAAATAAGGAAGCATGAAAAAATATTAACAAAATAAATAAATAGATTAAAATGTATTTGAAATAGTATTTATAACTAACATCAACAGAGTTGTCGTTTTAAAATGTTAGCGTTATGTTAATGTTAATGTTTAAAATCTTAACGCTATTAGTGAAAGCATAGGAATGAAACAGCCCCGTAATAATTGTCCTTCGTTGCTTTTAATATGGATTTTAAAAGAACGATGTCACAGTTACTTTTAGACAATGTTGCAGGGTCCGGGATAGCCTGGTTGGTAGGGCACTGGACCCAAGTGGTCGTGGATTCAATCCCTGACGGCCAAAGACTCCCCGTGTAGTAAATGGTGGCTGATGCACGTTAAATCTGTCGAGTCTCAAAGTCCTCCATGTTCCCATAACAAATCAATACCTCGTACTGGATTGGAGATCGATCGTTCTCTGATTCAAGTCAAAATTACGATCTGTGGCTGTATGAATGGGTCCACCGACTATCGAAAAATGACGACGCAATTTTGAAAATATAGTCCCAATAGTTTAAACAGAAGATTGGTAAAAAGTTTGGACCCCTTAATGTCAATTTCACTTTTTTTTAAGTATTTCTCAATATCCCAGACGCTTTTTAAGCGAATGGAAATAGTTTTACACACAATTTTGCACTCAATTAATCTTTAGTAATTATTTATTATTTTTTTAATAAGAAGTAAAAATATATTTGAATCTTAAGGTGCACAATTTTTGAACTGGTTCAAAATATATAATTTTAAATGACAATACAAAAAAAAATTAATGAAATCGAAGAACTATTCAACAAATTTCATTTCAATTTTATATTTTGTTATTTAAACTTTTGCAAATAAAAATTAAGTAAAACTTTGTATACCTTATAAATAAAAACAATTCATTACAATAATCATTAAATGAAATAGTAATAATAAATAATTATTAAAAATTATTCTTTGCCGCTGGAATCATCTTTGATGCAACGAATTTTATAAATGAAAACAAAAACTTTGCGAAAAATATTTTTAAAACATCATGACAATAGATAAGTAAAAATAAAATGATGCGAGCCTAAACTTTGAAACGCTCTCCTGCCTAAACTGTTGGAAGCATATATTTTCCAGATAACTGTTGCCCCTCATCTATATTAATTCCCTCGTAAAATGGTATCCTTGCTGGAGAAAATACTATTTCATGTCCGGTTCTGTTATTAAGTTAACAGTTAGAACTAATTAATTACCATGTTTCAAATCACCCATGCGAGATTGGGCAATTGGGGAACGTTTTACGGAGACCGGGTGATTTCTATCGTCTGATCTAAATTGTGTTTGTTCAATCTTTAAATTACCATTAAGTTGGGATCCAAAACCGTCACCAATAGCTCACTAGTGTTAAGGAATTGAGTTAAGCGACCGAGGCAAATATGCCCATACGCAGGTATCTGATGTCTCGCAGTCACGAAAGCGACCAAAGCTCATTAGTGTTAACTCTATTCTGACATGAACCCTATAAGCTTAACCTGTAGTCCTATTGCTAATATTGAATATCTGAAAATCAGAAATAATCGTGTCCGTAAGGAAACATTTATTGAGATCAGGCAATCTCATCTCGAAAAAAATATTTTTGATGCCATAAAAAAATGGTGATAAAAAATCCACACCTTCCTTCAGTTAAAAAGTAATTTCCCTACGGTGCCAGCATAAGTCGTAAAACGCCGAAGAAAAAAATAATATTAAAAAAATATATATATTATTTCCTCTCGATACTTTTTTCACTGCAGTAGACATTTTTTTTTCTTTCTTCATACTCTACATCTACGCTTTAGTCTCACCATCCAGAAGTACACTCTTTCTTCATCACAAAGTGGATTCGATGGACTTAAAAAGGAAATAAAAAATAAGAAAAAGTACGTATAAAAAAAAGGGCGGATTCCATTCCCTGGATCGGGAATCAACAGGATGTTCCGGTCTTCTCGACGATCTGCCGCCATCCCTTATTGATTCTTCCACTCGTCTGCGCACATCCTCTCATCCCACGAATCCAACCAGCATCAA